CCCCTCCCCCACCCTCCAGGGCTCCGGGAAGCACCTGGGTGGGACCCAGGCCTGGGCCAGGACCTCCCACAAGGGACAGATCTGATTTCCAATTAGCTGGGGGCTCAGGCTGACCACTGAGTGCGTATGAGTGTGTAGGTGTGAGCATGTGTATGTGTGTGTACATGCGGGTGCATGAGTGTCAGACTGTGTGTGTGTGCATGTGTGTCCATGGAGAGGACAGAGCCACCATCTCCCCTGAGATGTGAACAGGCCAGAAGGCTCCCATGGAATGGGCAGCTTGTCCAAGAGGGACAAACAGAGCTGGGGGCGGGGAAGGGTGAAGAGGGAGGGGCAGCCAGGAGAGGAAGGAGAAAGGAGAGAGAGAGAGCTATTGAGCGAGGGTGAGAGCGAGAGCGAGAGCGAGAGCGAGAGCGAGAGAGAGAGAGAGAGAGAGAGAGAGAGAGAGAGAGCATTCCTCTTACACACACACACACACACACACAGTAAGCACTCCTAGATCCAACCCTCCCAAGTCAAATCCACCTCTGCATCTCTGGTTCCAACACATACCCCCTCTCCTTCGCCATCCCTTTGCCTATTTGCACAAGCTTGGTGAACTTCCAAAGTCATTGTTTTCAGTCAAAACTCTCTCTCTAGGCAGACTTCATGCCCACCTCCTCCCTGTGCCCACCCCCACAGCCCCAGCAGAGCACCCAGCCTCAGCCCCATCGCTCTCTCCCTCTGCCCCAGGGACAATCCCACACACGGGGGCCAGTCGGGGGTACTGCTCCTTGGCCCCCAGGCCTTACATGCCCGTGGGTGTGTGTGTGTGAAAAGACACGATGTCAGCACACTCAGCCAAGCTGACTGTGGGAGCGCCCCAGCACCCCAGCTGGATCCTTCCTACTCCCCACCTGGGCAGGCGAGGCAGCCTTGGCAGCTGCTACAGCCACCTGTGCTACAGATGGAGCCGGGAAGCACCCAGACCATACTGATGGACAGGTGTGCCTCCAGGTGCCCTCACCTCCTCTCCAGAGCAGGTGTCAGGGTGGTGGGGATCCTGGTCAGTGAGATGCATCCAGGCAGGAAAGGGGCATCCACACAGGACCACACAAGGGTGGTGGGCAGCAGAGGCCTAGAGGAGCCCAGTACCCCCCAGGGATGATGCTGACCCTGCTCGAGGGTTTCTGGTTGGCTCTCCCTCCAGGCTGGTGTGGGGGTGTGGGGCGTAGGTGGCAGGAGTGAGGGAGGGGCTCGGGTGTGGAGCAGACAGTGTGGTCAAGGGGTACAGCACAAGGATGCTTGCAGCATGTCCCCTGGTGGAGGCAGGATGCTGGACACCTGGACCAGACAGTGGCTCAGCCAGGCCTGGCAGCGGATGTTGAGTTCTTCACCCACAGAGACGGTGTGTGTGCACCCGGTGTCCCCTCTGCTGCCATCGGACAGTGCAGCACCAAGGGAACCCCGACTCACAGCATCAGTGTGGAGCCGCACCTCACAGGGCGGCACTGCCACCTCGTTGCAGGTGGATGGCCGGGGCTCTCGACGGGCGTCTGGCGGGCTCCAACCCCAACCTTTCTGTGTTGAAGGACCAGCCAGAGAGCCCCAGAAGAGGTGTTGGACATGCCTACCCGCTCAGACCGGCATCCCAGGGCTTTGGGTGGGGAGGGAGAAACTCAACAAAGCCCACCACAGGGCACATCCAAACCCCACCCGACAAACCCTTTCTGAGCAACACCCCCTCCCAGACTATGGGCACTCCTCACCCAGGGGACGGAAAACCCGCTGCCATCGGTCCTTCCAGCTCCTAGCACTGCTCCCTGCCGCCGAGTCCAGTGCCCTCACAGAGACCACGTGGGACAGGGTGGGCCTGCCCTGTGGGCTTCTGGGACGGCAACTCCTACGGGAGCGGAAGGCATCCCAGTGGACACCCACTCTTAAGGGGCTTTCAGGGAAGTGGATGGATGATGGTTTGAGAGCAGAGCGCCTCATCTTTCTCCCACAGGGCGGTTGGTGGTTTCGAACTGCAGACCTTGCAGATGGCAGCCTACCTGGAAACCCCCAAGGCCACCTGTGCACCCTGGTTCCTCGCACCCCTATGTAGGGTTTCTGAGGAGGTCGGGCTGTACAGGGGCAGACAGCCTCAGCTTTCCCCGGGGAAGCAGCTGGTGGGTTTGATCTGCCCACATGGCAAATGAGGACTGCGATGTCTCTTGGGAGTGTGTTTGGCGGGGTTGCACATGATGATCCAGGACTCAAGGCTGGCATTTCTGATTCCACCCACGGGCAGGTCACACCTGGGTGCCATGCTGGGAGGCCCAGAGAGAAGGCGACACCCCTTCCCTGCCAGCTGGGTCCAAGAGCTCAGGACTTGCTGGAGAACCCTCCCGGGACCTGAGTCCTGAATGGACGGTCCTGTGTGGTTCTGTGTGGAGCAGGCTGTGATGGGCTTGTGCTGGGGGCCTCCGATCTGCATGTTCGCAGCCGCGGGGGTCAGCAAGCAGAGAGACGAAGGACAGCCACCGAGCGAGCCTCTGAGTGCAAACCCTCTATTTACAGTCGGCGCGTATAAATATGTATATTACATCTTTACAATCGGAAGAGCACGCCCCGTGGACGGGGGCTCTGGAGTGGGCGGCAGCTGCCCTGGGAGAAGGAACAGTGTCCTGGAGGAAAAGCAGAGGCAGAGGCGACTGACAGCAAGGGGCAAATCCTCGGAAAGGGGGTCACAGGTTAATCACCCAACCGGACAGGGGAGCCAACTCAGGTGTCCAGGTGGGAGCAGGTGATGTCCCGACTGTCAGGGAGTCCTCTCAGAGCAAACTGCTGGTGGAGTCTGCGGAGTGGGGAGAACTGAGGGCAAACCTTGGGACTGGTGTGTGTTATCTGAGGAGGGTGGGGTTGTGTGCACCGGGAGGAAGGGGTGGAGGGAGAAAAGAGCGGGGAGGGGTGAGGAGAAAGAGAGGAGAGACAGAGAGGGGACGAAGAAAAGGAGGTAAAAGTAGAAGAAGAAAAAGCATCAGCAGACAAAGAGAAGCATAGGAGAGAAGAGAAAATGAGAGTGTGGAGACGGGAATCGAAACTGAGGAGGATTAAGAGACAGAAAAGAAGAGGCAGCGGGGAGACGGCCTGAGAAAACGGAGGGAACAAGGGAAAGAAGGAGTGAGAGAGAAGGCAAGACAGAGACAGACAGACAGATGACAGGCAGGGTCAACGAGAAAGGAGGGAGCCAGAGGACACACAGGCTGGCGAGAGCCTGTCAAGAGACAGAAGCAGCGACAGAACACGATGACCTGGCCTCTTCTACCCCTCGTCTCCCTCTCCCCCACCCCCACATGCTTTCAGGGACATCTTTGTCGGCAAAGGACACCTCCAACCCTGTCCCCCGCTCAGTGGGCTCAAGGTGGGCCAGGGACCCAGTGATGGCTCGTACGCCTAAGCTCCTGGCAGCGTCTAAGCTAGGTGACACGGGAGAGCAGTGTTGGTGCTGGGGGCTGATGTTGGGGCAGGAAGGCTCACAGCTGCCCCTCCGTCCAGCTCACGCCGTATGGAGGGGCTGCACCTGCCCCCCACCACCCAGCTCCCCTACCCTACACCCCGGCTCCCAGCAGCCGGCCGCCACTCTCTACCTGGGCATCTAGACTTGACTGGACAGCTCCCAGGGCAAACCTCGGACATGGTGAGAGATACACCCCCACCCGTGACAAAGGCCTCTTGGAGTTCTCTAGAAGCTTGAACAAGGAGGGCAGAGCCCCTTGGCGTTGAGTTCATGGTAAAGACCGCTGGGCCCAGAGACCATTCTTGGCAGAGGACACTGTGTGAAGTATCCCTGGGTGACCTCCCTGTACACCACTGCTTGGGGCTGACACCATGCCGGGGGTGGGGGGAGAAAGAGGGGGACTCCGAACACTGGGAGCTGCCGCCCACCCACTCTGACAAGAGGCCAACTGCTCTCGGAGAGGTGACCACAAGACGGAAAAATACAAATGCAGACACGAGAACCCGTGAGAGCGGGCTGGCTAAAAAGAGACTTGTCCTCTGAGCCTGGTGGCATCCTGTGTCCAGGATCCGAGTTTACGGATAAAGCAATTCTCAGAACCACTCCGAGGACATTCCAGTTTGTTCTCCGCACCCAGTGACAAGACTCAACAGCCCCCTGGCCCCCTTGGAAATCCTGGTGGGCGTTTGCCGTGGCCTGTGGACCACGGGAGCAGCCCTGCCCCAGTCGTTGGGAGATGCCGACCCACAATCTCGCCTCCTCAGGGCGCGTGGCTGCTCTCCAGCCAGTCTCCATCGCAGCTAGAGCTGCTGTCCGAGCCGAAGGACACCCTCCTCTCCCTGGCCCACGGAGGCTCACCCTCCTTCTGCGGGCTGTGATCACGGAGCCGTGTGGATTGTACTGCGTCCAAACTGCTTTCAGGAGAGAGAGAGAGAGACAGAGAGAGAGCTAGCTCTTTTCGGGAACCTCAGTGGTGGAACGCTCCATTTTGTTCCAGTTCTGACACCTGGCCACGCACGAGAACCTCTTCCACTGGGAGAGACTCTGCACGTGGTGCATGGCACACAGGCACCGGTTCTGCCTCAGGGCTGGGCTGTCCCAGGGGCTCTGTTGGCAGTGCCACCATCGCCCTGCCCTGCCCTTTCGCCAATCCCCCAAGCGCGTGGCCAATCTCCAGGCGAAAGGTCACTGGCCAAGCGGGGACAAGGTCCGCCGTGTGGGTGTGCTTACACGTCCTCGCGTAACCTCTCCATGTAGCTGTGCACGTCTGTGTATCCTCCGGGGTCCAGGTCCTGGCACACCCACTTAATGTCATCCTCGCTGCTCATGGCCAGCGAGTTCACCGCCGGGTAGCTGTCCCCCGGGGAGATGGTGGCGAAGGTGGTGAACTTCACTCGTTTCCGTTTGGAGGTGGGGGAAGCGGGGGCCTCGCTCTTGGGGTCCCGCCCGTCGGTGGCCAGGGGCCCCGGGGCTTTGAACAACTGGCCGTTGCTGCTGGTCTGCGCGCGGGTGCTGAGGAGGTACTTGCTCTCCTCAAAGTCCCTGTCCAAGGCCGTGGTCTGCTCCTCCTGGGAGGTGGCCAAGTGGAGGGTGTCGTCCAGCAGCGCCGCCTGGTGGCTCAGCCCCACCCAGCCGTGGGGGTGCCTCACGCCCTCCTGCTCTTCCAAGGGTGCCTGCTTGTGCCTGTACTTCAGGGCAAAGGCCGCGCAGTTGATGAGGAAGACCAAGATGGCCAGGCAGAAGACGCCCAGCAGGGCGTACATCCCGATCTCCAGGTCGCTCAGCCCCTGCGGCGCCTGCATGAGGTCATTCTCGTCCGTGTCCCCCTTGCTGACGGGCACGTCCACTTGGGCTGGGAAGCTGGTGAGCTCCGAGGGGCTGGTCTGGAACCGGCCGTCCTCGCCGTACTCGAGAAAGCTCTCCTGGCCAGGCCTCCGCGGGAAGGCTGACCTCTCGGTGGCGAAGCCCCTGCCTCCCAGGAGGCCCACGGAGGAGCTGGCATAGGACGGCCCCTCTTGGCCATCCCATTCGGGCAGCGGCTTCCTGGGCCTCCGCTCACCGGGCCGGTTCTCCAGGTGAACGCCTCGCCCGGCATGACCGTCGCTGTCACTGGTGTTGGGGCTGGCATCACTCTGGCCGAACTTCACCTTGACGTGGGCAGTCCCCACGGCCAGGACACTCTTCCTCTTGGACTTCTGGCACGACTCGCTGATGACCATCTCGACCTTCACCAGCGGCCCCTGACCTTCGGTTTCAGCCGCAATCACCGGCCACTTGAATCTGGGGTCCTGGTGGACAGACACCACCTTCTCGTCCAGGGATGTGGCCATGAGGGAGAAGTCGCTCCCGGCGTAGATATCCAAGGGTGTGACCGAGCCGTCGCTAAACTGGACCCAGCAACTGATGGCCGCTTCCTGTCGGACAACACAAGGGCGTTAATCAGACCGGGCTGGAGGCTCAGTGAGCACCATGTCTGGGTGAAACAGACGGCCATGTCAGAGCAGAGGGAAATCTCTCGACCAGGTTTGACACGGGAGATCAGAAGTGAGGCACATCCTAAGGGCAGCGGAGTTTTGAAAGAGATGCTAAGGTCCACCCACTTTTAGTAAAAGGTGCCGGGACCCCCTGGGTGTCCACAAGCCAAAGAATGAACTCAAGCTCCTACCTCAACCCATACAGGAAAACTAACTCAAAATGGATGAAGGAAGTAAAGTCCAAACTGTAAAACTCTTAGAAGAAAGCACAGTGGAAATACTTCAGGTCTTAACTTTCCACAATAGCTGTGATGCAGAAAACAGGCGCGACGAGGGACCTGATGGATACAAGGAACTGCATGAAGGTGAATCGATCCTGCTGTTTATTAAAGGACTCTTCCAAGAAAAGACACTGGATTCATCTGGAGAAAACTACTGGGAGCTGTACACAGGACCCAGGTTAACATCTGTGGTAGTTACATGATCTGGTGTCAGTTTGCGAGCATTGCGAGTGAAGGGGTGGAGTCTGGCCCATCAATCCGGTCACAGCCAATGAGGCCTCTGTGTGGGCATGGCCTTCTCCTGAGGATTCTGGGAACTCCATTATTTCCTCTTTGGAGGCAGAAGACACTTCTCTCTCTGCTCACTCCCTTGGAGACTTTCTACTGACAAGGGTGACTCCCTGCCAGACATCCCAGAGGAGAAGCCGTGGACCTACCCTGATGCAGCCAGAACCCTGGACCTGGAGAAGCCACGTGGGGACCTCTGCCAGCACTGAAATGCTTACAACGCCACTGGATCCACAAGACGTCCTACCCACTGGCCTGTGATCTTCCTGCATTTGGCATCACTGTATGTGTTTTGTGAGTCTGAAGAGGACTTTATAGATGGTATCAGACATATGGACTAATATCAGACTTAGGGACCTGATCAGGACTGGGCTGGGACGTTTCCTCAATATTCAACTGCTCTTTGATATGTATGTGTTTTGTGAGTCTGAAGAGGACTTTATAGATGGTATCAGACATATGGACTAATATCAGACTTAGGGACCCGATCAGGACTGGGCTGGGACGTTTCCTCAATATTCAACTGCTCTTTTATATAAACCTCTTTCTTATTCGCATATGAGTCTCTAGGAATTTGTTTCTCTAGCCTACCCTGACTAACACATCTACAATATACAAAGAGCTCTTAAAACTTCACAACAAAAACGCAAACAACCCAAGTGAAACACAGGCAGAGAACCCAAGCAGGCATTTAACTAAAGAGGATACCCAAGTCGCCAACCAGCACATGCAGAGACGCTCGATGTCTTTAGCCTTTGGGGGGAGAAGCCAATGAAAGACCACCTCGTCCCCATCGAAACGGCGATGGTCAGAAACAGAAACCGGCGAACAGGAGGCAAAATGAAAATGCCGAGTGAGGAAACCGGAGCCCCCATGCATGGCTGCTGGGGATATGAGACCACGCAGGCCCCGAGCAGATCCGTCAAACAGGTGAACATAGAACTGCCATGTGACCCAGCGATCCCATGCTAGGCATACACCCGGGAGAAGGGGCACAGGAGGGCAAGGGAAACCTGCACACAGGTGTTCATAACAGCCCAAAGGCAGAGACCCCAACATGCTCCCCAATGGGGAGGGGCACAAATGCTTCGCGGTTCATCCACACAAGGGGACAGTCCTCACATGCCTGGACCCGACTGAGCCTGGACAGCCTTGTGCTGGGGAAGTCAGTCAGTCAGTCAGTCATTCAGTCCGTCAGTCACGCAGGGACAGGCGCTGTATGGCTCCCTTTGTGCAGCGCGGACGTCAGCAGAGACCAAATGTCAACTTCTCTAGAGTTACCAGGGGCAGGAGGAAGAGGAAAGTGAGGCGCCATTTCTTTAAAAAAAAAAAGTTCTAAAGTTGTGAACTGGGTGAAGATTTACCGAGCAGATCAGTTTCCCCTTCAACAATCCAGGCGCGTTTGTTGCATGCCATTGATTGCAATCTCCAGGATGTGACATCACAAGTTCCACGTTCTCCTGTTCCTACTGTCTCCATTCCCAGCATTCCTAACCAGTTCTTGCCTTTCAGACTTCGTCCTCAGATACAAGCTGCCCTCTTGATCTCAGGTGACTGATAGTTCTAGGGTGTGGACACCCCTCCCCGGTATCTATCGTTTGGCTGAGAGTCGAACTATGGGCTGAGTTCATGTCCAGACTTGGGCCACAGTTCTTTGGGGTTCACAGTCCCTGTCTGACCACTAAGTCCGGCATCTTTCAAAAATGATTTGAGCTCTGTCCCACATCTCTCCCCGCTTCTGTCCAGGACCGTCTATGGGGAACCTTTACAGAGTGGTGGGTCGAAGAAACCGGGCTCCATCTAGTCCTTCTGATCTCAGGGTCACGGAGACCGATGTTCGTGCATGAGGTGCGTCTGTCCATCGGACGGATTGTTTCCACGTGGCCTCGATTTTCATTTGCTTCCTCCTCAGAACAGGAAGTGACCCCTGGGATGGACACACCTGAGTTTTCAGACGCCAGTCCTTACGCATCAAAGCAGGCTACAGAACATTATTTTTGTGAACTGTGTCACGGCAATTGTTCTTTGTATCATTGACCTTCATGTCCCCTGAGACTATGGGCGTTAGCCCCAGGGCCTCCTAACTCATTCCCTCGGGGTGTTTGGCTATAATCTGAGACATTTTCATGCTTTTGTCTGATTTATGCTCAAGGAACCATTTCTTAGGGGGCAGTGGTCTTCTACTAATGATCAAGGTGAAAAACGTAGCTGTGATGGAGGTTCGATACGATCAACATAGATCCGTGCCACTCAGTTATACGTCTAAAACGGGTCAAATGGGTGTTTTGCTGTATCATATTTTTTTAAATTAAAAAACGAATCACCCACAAAAAATGATACACGTGAACAAAGACAAATGTTCTAAATAGTGTAGACATGAGCTATAAGGATGACAACCAAAGAGCACAGCCCGCAGTAAGATGAGCCTCACCATGGAGAGGACGCCCATCCTCCCCCTTTGGAGCGGCCAGCAAGATCAAAGCTGCGGAATCCAGGATGTCGTTCTCCTTGGACCCACAGTCCACACCCATGGACGCAGCTGTCACGAGATCAGGTGACATGCTGCTGTACGGGGGCTGTCTGCTGCAAAAGACCCCAGGAAAGCGTTGAAAGGCAAGATATCGCATCAAGGACCAAGGCGCGCCTGACTGAAGCCACTGTATTTTCAATCACCTCCTACGTGAAGACAAGAGCCGCACGGGGAGTAAGGATGGCCCAAGAAGGACTGCTGTCTGAATCACACTGCTGATGGAGCAGGGTGAACACACCACAGACAGACAGACGAATGGACAGCTCCCTTGGGAGAGGCACAGCCAGAATGTGCCTTCGAAGAGAAGATGGCAGAGACATCATCCCGTCTACCTGAGAAGGGGAGGAGCCTCACCTGTCAATCAGGTCATAGCCAATCATGCCTCTGTGCAGGCGTGGCTTTCTCCTGAGGATTCCGGGAACTCTTCTCTTCCTCCCTAAGAGGCGGGACACACACTCTCTCTGCTTGACATTCCTGATGGCAAGCTTCATGGAGCTACGCTGAAGCAGTCAGAGCCCTGGAACTGGAGGAGCCAAGTGGAGACCCCTGCCAGTGCTGAGATGCTTCTACCGCCACTGGATCTACAAGACTGTGCACCCACCAGCCTGTGATCATCCTGCACTCAGCATCATTGCATGTGCCACACGAGTCTAGAGAACTTTATAGATTCCCTTCATATGTCTCAGACATATGGGCTAAGTTTGGACTTATGGACTTGATCTGGACTGGGCTGGGATGTTTTCTCAATGTTCAACTGCTCTTTGATATAAAGCTCTTTTTTAGACACACATAGGAGTGTCTATGAATTTGTTTCTCTAGTCAACCCAGACAGACACAGCCTCATATACTTTGACCAGGAGGTATCAGTCCCTGGAGAAGGACATCATGCTTGGGAATGTCGAGGGTCAGTGACAAAGATGTCCCTTGATGAGATGGGTGGATGCAGTGGCTGCAACCACAATCTCAAATGTACCAATAACTGTGGGGTGGGTGCAGGATTGGGCCGTGTGTAGTTGTATTGTGCCCACGGCTGTAACGGACTTGACAGCCCCTAACAACAGCAGCAACAAGCCTCTGGGGAAAAACCCACCTCACCCAGATGAAGATGTAAATCCGAAAGAGATCATCAACAACAAATGCCAATGGCCAAGCAGGGCTACGATTAAATGCTCTGTAATGAGATGTTTTCTTTTCTTTTTTTTTCTTCCTGAAGGTGGTAAGCAGAGAAATGAGTCCCCTGGGCGGTGTGCAAGGTCTATTCCGCACAATAATAAATTGCCCGTCAAAGGACATTACTGGTTACTGGATCATTTACAAGTGTTATACATTCCGATGAAACATAGTTATTACATTACTTTCACATTGCTTTAAGACCGTGTCTCCACTTATTACTCACGACATACATGAAGACCCCTAATCCAGATGAGGGCACCCTGGGTGGGGGGCGGGCACACTGGCTCTGTCCTAGCCGAGTTTGCAGGACTGGACTTGGGCTAGCCTCGGGATACAATCTTGGCTTACAGATGAGCCAGTAAATCAGTGAGATAGAAATAGATAGAGATATGGGGGAGGCAGGGGTAGACAGAGGTCAAGAGAGAGTTATGTCAAGTCATTGTCTCCGCGACCCTAGCCCTTGCCCCCAAGACACAGGAGGAAACGTGAAGACCAGAGGGTGTCCAGGGCCCGGGTGTGTGTCCTTCGACTCTTGCATCGGCCCTTCATTCCCCGAGGATGAGCTGAGGGCAGATCCCGGTAGGAGCGAGAACCTCCACTTGAAACAGCCGTCCCCGTGAGTTGCCGGTGCTATCGATGGGCTCTGACTCAGGCTGGCCTTCTCCACAACGGGACAACACCCTGCCCGGCCTCCAGGTCATGCTGGCCGTTGGCGGTTTGAGCCCATGGGTGCAGCGCTGCGTTGAACCATCTCATGGGGTTTCCCTGTTTTGTTTTTTGTTGTTGACCTACATTACAAAGAGGAGGGCCTTCTCTGCGCACGGTCTTCCTTGAGGACCAGAGCACCGCCCTCGCTGCCGAGGCATATTCTGCCAGCAAACTGCCTTTGTGCCCATCAATGACTGGGCGCACCGATCACATGCTGCTTTCTCTGGATGGGCTCCATCCTCAGCCAGGAATGGTAGACACGTAACCTGCCCACCAGGGTACAGAACCTTTAATTCTAGCATCTCTGAGCCAGTCTGAACCTCTCCCTCTCAGGCTCTATGTCTGTCTGTCTGTCTGTCTGTCTGTCTATCCCTCTCCATCCCAGGGGCAGTGCAGCTAGTGCGTGGAGACGTGTGGGAACTGCTGGAATAACCCAGCACTGGAAACCCCACCTGTAACGTGGCCCTGCTGTTTCAAAACCAAGAGATCCGAAGCCTGTTTGCATTTTCCGTTTGAGGAAGCCCCCTCTTTGGAGCAGCCCCGGCAGACCATGTATAAGCAAATGTTTGGTGAGCAGGCGTTACCCTAAGAGAACAAACTAGCCCAAACTCAACAACAGGGGAGTGACCCCCTGGGAGAGTGCTTCCTTTCCAACTCCTCTGAGGTCTCTAGGGGGTAGCTACATAATCTGGTGTCAACTTGAGACCATTAGGAGTGCAGGGGTGGAGTCTAGGCTGTCAATCAGGTCCCAGCCAATGAGGCCTCTGTGTGGGTATGGCCCTCTCCTGAGGATTCTGGGAACTCCTGTCTTCCTCCCTGGAGGCCAGACAGACTCTGCTTCATCTTCCTGTGGACAAGACACATGGAGCTATGCACACTAGTGTCTGGGGCTGGAGGAGCCACGTGGAGACCCCTGCCAGTGCTGAGATGCTTCCACTACCACTGGATCCACCAGACTTTCCACCCACTGACCTGTGATCTTCCTGCATTCAGTGTCATTGCATGTGTTGTGTGAGTCTGTAGAAGAATTTATGGACTATTATTGGACACGTGCTCTAATATCGGATTTATGAGCTAATATAGAACTTATGGGCTTGATCTGGACTGGGCCGGAATGTTGTTTTCTTAATGTACAACTGCTTTTTGTAAAGAGCTCTTTCTTACACACATACAAGTCTCCCTGGATTTGTTTATCAAGTATAGCCAGACTAACACAGTTTACAAGAAGCCCCAGGCCATGGGCTCAATCCGTTGTGGCGTACAGTTGCTTGGGGGGTGAGGGTGGGGTTACTCCTTCTTGCAACTGGTAGACTCTGCGCATGACAGGAGTTGTGGGCGACGTGGCGGGGGCCCCCTCAGACGGCCTCTGTCAGAGCAGAGCTATCCTCCACGGGCTTCTGGTGGCTGGGTTCCAGAAGCTGATCGCCAGTCCTTTCTTCTGAGGGCCCTCTCGGTGGGCCATTGGCATCACCTGGGCACTCCAGGCAATGTCACGTGGGGTTACCTGGTCTATGGACGTTGGAAGAAAGACATATCCTCCGATGTTGGTCAACAAGACGGAGACACAATCTGCCTTTGGGGAGAAGGCATTTGGGCGCCATGGATCTGGACAGGGGCCCGATCGCCCGCCTCCTCTTGTCTTCAAGAGCTGGACAACAAGGGGACAAACAGCTCCACTGGACAGTGGGCAGAAGACGCAGCTGGGCAGCTCATGATGGGGGCATTCGCAGGATCTGCAAGCCCACACGGAGATGCTCCACACCATTCGCCATGGCCAATCCACTGCTGCCGGGTGGATTCTAGCTCCGTGACATGATTGGATAGAACAGGACTGCCTGCCCCCATGGGGTTCCAAGGCCTTCGGCCTGGTGGAAGCAGACAGCCACCTTTGTCTCCCACGGGGCATCTGGGGGGTTCCCACCACCTGCCTTTCGGTTGCCAGCCACATGCTTTCACCCTCAGGCTACCGGGTTGCCTTCATGAGCCACGAATCTCACTGTAACCCCGCCAATGCCGACCCTGTTGGCCCAGAGGGCAGGGTTGACGTGGCTGAGGTCACGTCGGGTCTACGAGGCCCTCACGCTTTGTGGGAGCAGAAGGCGGCACCTCTCTCCCATGGATTGGCTCAGGGGATTGTTGACTGCTGACCCTGCAGGAGGCAACACCCCCGTAGCCCACGAAGCCACCAGGAACACTCCCACGAGGTGGCCATACTAATGAAACAAACAGCTGCTGGAGAGCTTGTGGACCAGCTGGGATCCACCATCCATGGTCTGTGGGAATCCGAAAGGAAGCCTTCCACTCCCCCATGACCCAGCGAGTCTGACCCCAGGTGTAGGATGTTGTTCGTACGAGGGGGGTGGTGCCCACGGAAACCTGTACACCAGGGCTCACTGCAGCCATTAGAAGACTCCTCCCCAACCCCGTGTGCACCATGACTGGATGGA